TCCTCGGGCGCCTCGTTGCCTTCCAGCATGACTCCTGGTATGCCCGGGGAGCGCGACCCCGCGCCCGGTGTGGCGGGGGCCGCCCATCCGTTGGGCCCTGTACCGAACTGACCTCTCGACAGGACGTCGTCGCCTGCGTCGATCCACTGTCCTCTGTCGACGGCCCAGCTTCTGACCTCCCTGTGGTCTGGGAAGTGCACTCGATTCTGGCGATGCTCATGGACGAGGTAGCGGCACATTTTGAATCTGAGGTCGTGGTCTAGAGCCTGGATCCATCTCCCGCGAATCTGGGGCAGCGTCGTGTCTCCATCAAGTGCGGCCGAGCATGGAGTCTGGGAGGAGATCGTCTGCAGGATCCCTTATGCCGATGTCCACGCATAGGGCTGCGTAGTGAAGGGCGTCGTATTCCAAATGCGCTGCGAACATGTCAGCGTCGCTTGGGTTATCGCAGTCCAACCGCTCTGTCTCGATGTCGGGGTGCTGGGCCTGGCTAGCATGCCGAAAGGCCAGCACCTGCACTGGGTCTGGTCCTACCCCACCTAGTCTTGCCTCGTGGTCGGCACCTGTCATGGACCAGACGATCCAAGATAGGTCGAGCTGGGCCAGAGCTGGCCCAATGCCGTAATATTGTCGGTCGGGCCCTTGGCCCGGCCGTTCACCGCGCTCGGGGGAGGCCCTGAGCGTGCCAGGTGCTCCTCCTAGTGGTTGGGGCCAAGGCTCGAGCCCAGGGTGACCGGGGGGGCGGCGGTTCCAACAGAAGTGCACTAGGAAGTCCAGTCCCAGGCGCATCGCTTGGTTGCGCACCCCGACTGCGGGCGCCAGGTCTCTCCGCGGGCCCGCCCGCGGCTCGTGGTGGGCTGCGAGCGCCGCGAGGGTGCCCCCCCGACCGGTTTCTCTAAGGTCTGCTACTCGGGGGCCATGGTAGGGCCCGTCTGTCCCCCGGCTTCCGCACCGCCGCGGGTGGTAGTGCAGTCTATCGAAGCCGGGATTGCAGCGGTAGTTGAGAGTTGATCGCCAGACGGGTGACACCCTTTCTGAGCTGTCCGATTCGTCCTGCCAGAATCTGGCGTTGTCCGGGGATGAGCGGGGGCGGTAGCCTCCTTGCCCGCGTCGGCTTGAGCCACAGGAGAGCAGTGGAGGTGAAGGGGGGCCTGGAGGAGGGTCGATCGGGCGATCCTGGGGCGCGGGATCCGATCGGGCCGCGATCTCGTGGGGCTCCCGTCTAGCGGCCTCGGTGCCGCTGCCTGGTGTGCCTCCATTCGGTTCTCCCTCATCGGGAAGCACCTCTCCTCTGATATGCCCCTCGGGCTGTTGTGGCCCTTCTGGCCCAACTGGATGGAAGGGGGGCGTAGGGGAGATGGTGAAGGTTCCACTGGAAGCGAGCGCCTGGGTGGGCCTGCCGCTCCTGTCACTTGGGGGGATCCCTGGCTCTATGGCACGGTGGGCTGTCTGTGCGGCCCCTGATGTGCTGAGGCCTGCCGCCCCCGGCCTGGCGCGCTCGAGACCGCTGCCAATATCGGCCCCCGCGTGGCAGGGGCAGCCTGCGTCTGGGGAACCTGGAGCCATCTCATCTGCTTCTCCTTCTGTCTCCCTGCGCCTCTCACTCGGCTCCTCGTGCGCGCGCCCGAGCCTAGGGGGGCTGTGCGCGCAGGCGTCTGCTTCTGGACCAGGCCCCTCCCCCCCCGCGTTTTCTCCACCAGTGCTCCTATCGGGGGGGGGGGGGGCGGGAACGTCCAGGGGAGGTCTGATGGGCCGCTGATTCTGGTCACTCTCCGCCCTGTCAGCCCTTGCTGGGGGGCCAAAAATGGGGAGTGGGTCGAAAGGGGGGCACGCGGGAAGTGAAGGGGGAGCAGGGAGTGGCCCCCCAGGGCTCTCAAGATCCTGTCTGTCAGCAATCCTGTTGGGTACGTTTTCCTGGGACTCGAGGCCCCCCGAGGTGCCTCTTCTTCTGGGTTGCTCGGAATGGTCAGGTGTCGTGGTTCCTCCAGGGTCGCAGCTAAACGCCGCTATAGATTCTCTTCCATTTCCTCCAGGGTCGCAGCTAACCGCCACTATGAACTCTCTCTGACGATTGGTGTCCCAGGGGTGTGGCTGGCCGCCGCCTGGGGTGTTATTGGCATCTGGTCCTCAAGGGCGCTGGGGGTCCACGTCGAGGCTCGGGCTTGGGCCCGTTGCATATGTCGTTCCTCGTTGTCCTCCAGGGTCGCAGCTAACCGCCGCTGAGAGTTGCATTGTCCAGGTGGCGTGAGGGGGGCTGGGGTCATGATGGGAACTGGGGTGGGGATGGCGGGAGCAGGGCCCCTATCCCCCCGATCCTGCACAGTCGGCCCCCCTTCTCTGCCGTCACGCTCCAACCCGTCACACTCTTCTCCCTCAGTCGGCATTATCTGGGGTGGGTCGAGAGCGTCCCGGAGGGGGTCCTGTCGCCTCGTCTCGTCGCCTTCTGGATGGTCGCCGCTCCCCCGAGGGCTGTGTGTCTGGGCTGATCCAGGGTCGCTGCGCACCGGCGTTGGGGGCGTCATGATTGCTACTGGTGCTGGCTCCTGGTCTGCCCTGAGGGAAGGGGGGGGCGGCTGTCTGCGGGGGATCTGAACTTGATTGGGGTCTGTGGGGGAGTCGACCGAGGCCAGTGACTGGGCTCCCGCGCCCTGCACTGTAAGGTCCCCGCCCCCCGCGACGCCATCCGACTGATCCTCCATGAGACTGGGGCCCGCGCTGCCTGCCTGAGCCGCTGCCAGGGAGAGGCGCCGCTGCCGATATGGCTGGGCGCGCCGAGGGAAGCGGGGGGGCACGGGGCCGCGGGCCCGCCGCGCAGCGTACGGGCGCCCCCTTGAGCGGCGGGAGACTGCCCCGGAGAGGGCAGGCCCACCAGACGGCTTGAGCCAGGCTGCGGAGGCTGGTGGGGACTCGCGAAGCGTAAACAATTTCGAGGCTCTGCAGAGGAGCACATCCTGGCCTGTTGTCATGTTGTCTGTAAACGTTATTAATGGCCCTGCGGCCCAGGATTAACCGTTCAAACTTATGTATCTACGTTTCTCCTGTTGGACCCGTCAGGCCCTGGGGATGATTGGAGGGCCGCCCTGTAACACGTGTAGTAAAGGCCGTGCCAATCCCCCCCCCCCACGGAGGACGCAAGCCTCGAGCACTGCGTTTGTCCGAATGGTTTGGGGGGACCCGATGTAGGTCCCCGAAGGAATTGAAAGAAGTGTTGTTAGGTAAGCGCTTGTGACAGGCTATGTTGCAAGCGGCGAATGTTTGTTGTGCAGTCGGTGCGGCCTGTATCATCGAACACCGATCCGAACCTGACTATGCCCACCGACCCTCCATGTGAAAGCTTCCAGAAGTGGAGGCCCTACTGGGCTTTAGGCCCCGTGCAAGTCTTGATCAAAATTGTTGTGGCGCCCCATCTCGGAAACCGACGACGCTGTTGACCATTCATACCTTAGGTGTCCCTGATATGATCCGTGACCTGCCTAGTCAAAGTTAAGTGCTCGTGCAATTCCCACAGTATTGAATTAGTTGGCACAAACGGCTCAGGGGCTCTCAAGATTGCTGCTGCCAAGCAGTACCCATACAGTATGTCCAGACTGTTGGCGCAGGCTTTGATGTTGTCAGTCTCGGGTCTAGGTTCCATCTCAGGCACCCCCGAGGTCAGCAATGAGTTGTTTTGCTTACATGTGCCTTCTGATCCGAATTACAGCAACCACGCATGGGGGAACTTCGCTCCCGATGTGCATAGAGCAGCTTGAGGACAGGCCACCCGCTCTTGTTCTTTCCCTCGATCTCTCTATATATTGTCTCTTTCTTGCGAATGCGCCACCAGTGCAGCTTCTGGAAGGAGAAGAAGGATGAGGAGGAAGGAAGAGGCATGGGGAGGAGGAGACAGGAGGAGGAGCAGGCAGGAGGAGGAGCTGGAGGAGGAGGAGAAGGAGGAGGCAGGAGGAGGTCGGAGGGTGCAGGAGGAGAGGCCCAGGCAAGCCAGAAGGGGATCCTCGAGCGGGTAACGACCGTCGGAGTAACGTGTTCCTCCTCCATGGTCTGCCGATGACGACCCGCGAGTCCGCGAGCGGGGCCTCTTTTGGCTCCTCGAGGGGGCGATGCGGCCGCCACCTCCAGCGTGCGCTCTGGATCGAAGGTAGAAGGTCGAGGATCGAGGATCGAAGATCGAGAACCGAGAATCGAGAACCGAGGATCGAGGACTTTGCTGCCAACCCCCTGAGCCTCCAGCGTTTGCTCGGGATCCGCACCCCTGGCCAAGTGGGCGGATGATAGCGCCGCGCGCACGGCGGTCGCCCCGCTCCAGCTGGCCTCGTGCCGCCTCTGGGAGAACAAGAATCGGATGTTGCCAGAAGTGCCCCTGGCCCAAGGTGCCCCCAGAATTCCAAGAAGGCCCCCACAGGGCCCCACGGCCTCCAGAGCACCTCTCAGGAGGCCAAGAGAACCCAAGGGGCTCCAAAATTGAGCGAAAAGCTGGGGGGCACCTTGGGCCAGGGGCACCTCTAGCAACCCCCAAAAAAGGTAAACATACCGCCACTCCCCGGACCTCTCCCCGCCGCTTTCTGACCAAGACGTCGAGGCGTACCCAGCCGTGGCGACGAGGGCCTCCCAAGAGGCCCGAAAAAGCTAAAACGAGAAAAGGGTGGCGGTATCGCTAGCTTCCTGGCACTCCAACGTCGTGACTGAACCCCAGGAAATCTGGACCCATTCGCCGGGACCAGATTTTCATCCTGAGCTGATTTTGCGATCCCAGGGCCCAGCGATGGCCCCCAGAGGCAGGAAACAGCGAAAACCTCAATCTTGATTTTTTCCAGACGTTGGACGTCTGGGCGGGCAGCGGTATCGGTATGGCTGACGGGTCGTGACTCAAGACTCCGGCGACCGTTCGGCACGATCCAGGCACCCCCAGGACACTCTCGGCGAGGCGCAGCTGCTGGAACGCGTCCCGAGGCTGGAAAACCGCCGAGAACAACTAAAACGCCCGAATTCCTCAAACCTCTAACCCTAAAATCAGCGGGAGCCACGTGGTCTGAGACAGTCGGACGCCGGTCAGCAAGCGGTGGGGCGCACCGAACCCGAGACTACCCGCCCCTGTCTTCGAGTTCTGGGCCTCATTTCGGCCAGAACCGCGGCCATCAGGTCTGGGCGCAGCCGGGCCCTGAGGTGCGCGGGGCTCTGCCACAGCTCCAGGGCCTCTGCGTCCTCGCTCAGCTGCAGGGTGTCCTCCTCCTCTCGGCGCACGACCGCTCTCCATGCCCCCCATCCAAGCCCCCGACAGCACGAGAAACGCCATGCGCATTTTTTCGCCGTGCTCGGCATCTAGAGGCCCACCAGGCCCCAGGGCCGTCAAAAAACGACTCAAGATGAAGAGCCAGCCCTGGGGAAAAGGTCCATACCCCCAGGGACCCCGTCCGCACCAGCATGGTCGCTGATCCCAAACCCAATGCGTGTTAGATAAAAATCAAGACGGTGGTTCTTCACCGTTCCTGCCTCTGGGGGGCCCTCGCCAGGCCCCCTGGTAGTCAAAAAAAAAGTCTCGGGAGGAGACAGCTTTCCGGGGGCAGGAGTCGAGACTTACGGGGACCCCGCATGAAAAAAAAGCGGAGCTCTGGGATTTCCACGACAACGCAACCCGATGAAGCAAGCTCCCATTCCCTGAGCTTGTCATTGACCGCGCGCAGACGCACACGAGTGCAGCATCCCCCCACCGGCATAGCCTTGGACCCACTGGCCGACTTACCCCTCTCTCCCACAGGGGGAGGGGTACGTCGGCAGGTGGGGACACATGCCGCTCCCCCCGCGGGTTTCGCGGGGCCTGCGGTCAGGAACTTATGTCTAGCGCTTCACGGCGGCGCCCTGGCAACAACGGGAGTGCCCTGCAGGCGGATGGCGTGTCGCTCTACCTCATGGGGCGGGAGGCTGGGGAAAGCTTGGGGTGACGTTGACGCCCAGGGATTGGAGGAGGAGGAGGAGGAGGAGGAGGAGGAGGAAGCACGTCGCGCCGAAGCCTGGTGGGCCAGAACCATCGGCGCGCGACACGCTGCGCAGACGTCCCTGGCCCGATCCTCACCTGGGAGGGGGGGCTGATGGGGCTGGATGCAATTGACCCAGTGGAGATTGTGGGGAAACATAGTTGCTGATACCGCTGCTCTCCCGACCTGTCACAGTCCCAGGGGGCCTTGCAGACCAGAACTTCGAGCCGAATTCCGCGGTGGCGGCGGGGGCCTCCCAGGAGGCCCCAGAAGGCGAAGACGAGGGAAGGCTATCAGTAACTCTTCCTCTTCTGAGCCATGGCCCAGTGGAGACTGGGATCTGTGTGACGATGCCCGCCTTCATCTCCCCGATGAGCCGCAGCTGGCTAGTGAAGGGCTCCACGTACATCAAGATCGTCGTCTGGTGCAGCCCGTTCTCTGCCCGGGTGCTCTCCACAGTTGTGACCTTCCACAGCTCCCGCACCTCCTCGTCGCTGGGCCAGGCCGCCTCGAGAGGCGCATGAAGGAGGAGATCTTTTTCAACACACAAACACACACACACATACACGCACACACACACACACACACACACATCCACGCGCAACGGCACCGGACACATGCGGCAAGAGCCCGCTCTCCCCCGGAGGCACGGCTGCCGCAGGCAGCGCCACTGTGCAGCCATCACGCGAAACTCTCGGCAGCCGCGCGCGCGGCCACTTCCTCCGGCCGCAGCTGCACCGCCGACAGCAGCTCGCGCATGTCCGCAGGCAGCGGCGCGGTCGTCTCGCATGGCGCGTGCGGCTCGACCGGGTGCGCGAAGCGCAGGCGCCAGGCGTGCAGCGCGGGCCTGCGGATCCACTTCCTTAGCGAGGCCTCCCAGACGGGGTCCGAGTAGACGGGGTTGGAGGATTGCACCGCGTCGCGGCGATGCATCGGTGATGCATCGGCGACGTCGGCGTGGAGAAATTCAGGCTCAGCATCGAGCCGCACCGCCGATGCATCGGCAAAGCAGCGCGATCCTCCGACCCCATCTACTCGGACCCCATTTGAGAGGCCTAGATTCCTGCTGCCGTCGCTGCGGGGGTGGCCGTACCGCGGGTCGCCCAGCAGCGGGCTGTCGACCGCGGACAGCTGGAAGCGGATCTGGTGCCGCCGCCCCGTCATCAGCCTGACGAGCACCGCGGCGACCCCGGACGGCCCCTCGCACAGGGGGCGGCACTCGAGGGTGGCCACCCTGGCGTCAGCCTCGTCCTCGTCGGAGTCGACCTCTCGCGCGACGCCCTCCTCGTCCGTACGCATCGTGTGCCGCAGCTCCTGCACGCCACCCAGACGCCATCGCCGCACGATGCCGATGTACTCCTTCAGCACCTCCCGCTCGCGGAACTGCTCGCCCAGGAAGCTCGCTGCGGCCGAGGTCTTGGCGAAGGCGCACGCCCCTGAGACGTCCCTGTCCAGGCGATGCAGCAGGTGCGCCCGCGGTTCGCTGGATCCGCCGCCGCGCGACAGGTGGACGCGGGCGCGGGCGCAGAGGCTGTCCTCGCCCCGCTCGTAGGCCTGCGACAGCAGCCCCGAGGGCTTGTTGGCCACCAGCACCCAATCGTCCTCGAAGAGTACCGGCAACGGCTCGTCCACGCCGGCCCTGCGCCCCTCCCCCTTCGCCGGCCAGCTACCCCGGGCCCTGGCGGCGCGCGCTGGGCGCCGCACCGCGGCGGCCGCGCAGCCCGCGGCCGCGGCGCGGGCGGCCGCGGCGTGGGCAGGCAGGCCCGCCCAGGCCCAGGCGGCGCTCGCGCCGCGGCCGGCGGCTCGCCGTGAGGCGCGGCGGCGTCGCGCCGGATACGGGCCCTCGGCGGGCCGGCAGCCCCGCCGCCGCGGCCGCTGGGCCGGTGCCGCCGCCGGGGGAGGTCAGCATCGCCGCCGCGCGGCCGCGGTCCGCGCGGCAGGGCGCCGTCAGCGCGCGGCCGCGGAGGCCCCAGGGCGCCAGCGACGACGAGGAGGAGTCAGGGGATCTGGGCCTGAGGCAAACTAGCTACGTAAACGAGAGATGAGGAGGAGGAGGAGGAGGAGGAGGAGGAGGAGGAGGAGGAGGAGGAGGAGGAGGAGGAGGGGGAGGAGGAGGAGGAGGAGGAGGAGGGGGAGGAGGAGGAGGAGGGAGGAGGAGGGAGGAGGAGGAGGAGGACGAGGAGGAGGAGGCACGAACGGTAAAGAAAAATGCGCGCGGCCTCCAAGCGAGAATCACATTTTGAAAAGACCCCGCCCTCCATGTTTAAAACTGCTGCAAATGCGTGTGTGAGGGGCTGCGCCGTTTGTCGTTGTCGTCGTCGTCGTCGTGGTTGCAGTGCTCTAGCGGGCTTGAGGGAAATCGACCCATGTCGTAACCACGTCAAAGGGAAGCCCCTTCCCTTTGTCCCTTCCCCAGCGGGGGGGGGGGGGGCCGGGGGGGTCCCGGGGGGGTCCGGGGGGGTCCAAGGGGGGTCACGAAGGGGGTCCCGAGGGGGGTCCCGAGGAGGGTCCCGAGGAGGGGGGGGCGCCACCCAAATACGCTTTCAGTCCCCACGCGTCCGGCGCGGTGCCCGCGCGGTTCCGAACCCCGCGCGGCTTCCCAGTGAAAGACTGAACATGTAGAACAACCTCCACCCTCCCCTCCTCCTCCTTCCTTCCTCCTCCTCCTCCTTCTTCTTCTCCTCCTCCTCTCCTCCCTCCTTCCTCCTCCTCCTCCTCCTCCTCCTCCTCCTCCTCCTCACTGCTCCTCTGCGGACTTCTCCGAACCCCAGGCTCGAGGATCGAGGCTTTCGGGGGCGTCGCCGGAGCCCTCTCTTCGCCCTCTTTTCGGCCACCCTCCTGCTCCTCCTCCTCCTCCCCTCCTCCTCCTCCTCCTTCTCATCCTCCGCCTCCTCCTCTTTCCTCCTCCTCCTCCTCAACTTCTCCTTTTTCCTCCCCCCCCTGTCCTCCTCCTCCTCACGCCTCCTCCTCCTCCTCCTCCTCCTCTCCTCCACGCTCCTCCTCCTCCATCTCTCCGTCCTCCTCCTCCTCCTCCTCCGCCTCCTCCTCCTCCTCCTCCTCTCCTCCTCCTCCCCCCTCCTCCCCCCCTCCTCCTCCGCCCCTCCTTGCTCCAAACCTCCACCTCCACGCTCCTCCCCCTCCTCCTCCGCCCCCTCCTCCTCCTCCTCCTCCTCCTCCTCCTCCTCATCCTCCTCCTCCTCCCTCCTCCTCCTCCTCCTCCTCCTGCCCCCCTCCTCCCCCTCCTCCTCCCCCTCCTGCTCCAACCTCCACCTCCACGCTCCTCCTCCACCTCCTCCCTCCCCCTCCTCCTCCTCCTCCTCCTCCCTCCTCCTCCTCCTCCTCCTCCTCCTCCCCCTCCTCCTCGCCTCGTCCGCCTCCTCATCTTCCACGGCCTCCGTCTCCGCCCACTTCGTCGCCGACGTCGTGTTCCTCTTCAGGGTCGGCGGCACCGGCCGTCAGGCCTTCGCAATTGTAAAACGATTGTGCGCGGTGCTAGAGCGACAGCCACGTTTTAAAAACGACCCGCCCTCCAATCCGTGAAACTGCTGCAAGCTGTTGAGACGAGCGTGCAGGCAGAAGACGAACGAACCGTGTGAAAACGACCCGCCCCTCCTCGTTTGAAACTGCCGCAAACGTGAAAACGGCCCGCCTTCCAGCCTCGAAACTCTTGCAAACTTCAAGCTTCGGGGTAACCCCTGACGAGGAAGCCTCGGGCGAGGCGACTGGCCCACCCCAACGACATGTCTGGAGGCGCGACAGGGAGGAGGTAAAAGAAACGGGATGGAGGAGGAGGAGGAGGAGGAGGAGGAGGAAGAGGAGGCGGAAAGGGCGGAGGCGGAGGAGGCACAACCCCAGAAGTGCCCGCAGGGAGACAATAAGCAAGTAGCACTACACGCTCGGGACGGCATCGGACTCTCGCAGTCGGTGCTGTAAACGCCTTAGCATCCGATGGAATGGGTAAGGAAGAGGGGGCCTCCAGAGGTCCCCGAAGGTCCCTAGAAGCCTCCACAAGTACGAAACGTCGAGAATCT